TTGGGATCCCTGATTGTGCAGGCACTGTGTAGCAGCTCACATCTTGGTGTGGTCCTACTGCCCCTTGCAGCAGCCCGTTTGTCATCCAGCTGAGCAGGTTGGGGTGATGGGAAGCAGTTTCATCTGCTCTCCTCCTGCTCTCATGCCAGGTATGAATCCGGGGACCACGTGGCTGTGTACCCAGCCAACGACTCCTCTCTGGTCAATCAGATTGGTGAGATCCTGGGCACGAATCTGGACACGATCATGTCCCTGAACAACCTGGATGGTGAGTATGGATCACCCTGGATGTCTGCAGGTCTCCTCCTGCAGCTATGCCCTCTGTGCTGCCCACCAGAGCGGAGCCAGGTCACCTGCAGGTCCCATAGGGCAGGCAGAGAGAGATGTCCTGTTGCCACTCGGAATGCCATGGCATTTTAAGAGTGGCACGGAGCCTGCTTGCTGCGAGCCAGCTGAAGTGGGTCAGTTGTGAAATGCACTTGTGTGCCATTCAGCAGCACATTATGCAACAGCATGCTCCTAATTACAGAGCATCAGCCCACCAGAGCATCCCTGTGCCGCAGCAGCCCCGGCGCTCAACAGGGACCTTAATGTCTGAGATGCTGTTATTCAGCCCTTGGAGGAGGCGCAGCAGGGAGCACTTGTACTGATACAAAGAGCTCGTCTTGGGCAGTGCTTCCAGCAGAGCTGGCCTCTGGCAGGAGGGAGATAGCAGCTGCTACCCATCTTGCTCCTGAAGCAGCCTGACCTGAGGCATCGGATGTGGTCGCCCAAAAGCTTTAAGGGAGCTCCTGTCCCTTATGGACCTCTTAGTTTGTGGAACTGGATGGCTCCAGCCTTGTCTGCTGGTGCTTACCTTTCCCAAGGGGGCTCTGAGCACAACTGGCCATGGCCAAAGGAGACTGAGAACACTTTTGAGGCCAGATCTGAAGGAGGCATAAATGTGTGAGGCCAAGTTAGCTGTGGAGAACAGCCACCCTGTTTGGTCTGGAGTTTATTGGGTGCTTCTGTGTATGGGTATCTCGGGGCAGAGAGCCCCACTTGGTGGAGCACAGGGTATACCGTTTTGCTGATAAGCTGCCTGGCAGCATCTGTGGAACACAAAATGGGCTACTGGGAGATGGAGCTGCTTTAATGTGGGATCAGGGCTGACTGAGCCCAGGGCTCCCTCAAGCCTGTTCCCCTGCTCTATCTCCACCTCTCATCTACTGCCTGTATCTGCCAGCACGAAACCAGACATAACAGCGTGTGGTTGCTGACTTCCAGTTTCTTTTTCCTCTCCCTCCTCTCCAGAGGAATCCAATAAGAAGCATCCCTTCCCCTGCCCCACGTCCTACCGCACAGCACTCACATACTACCTGGACATCACCAACCCACCCCGCACCAACGTGCTCTATGAGCTGGCTCAGTACGCCACGGACCCCAGCGAGCAGGAGCGCCTCCGGAAGATGGCATCATCTGCTCCTGAGGGCAAGGTGGGAGCTGGGGCCTTCTCAGCATGGCTGCTGGGCTCAGCTGGGTGCCAGGGTGTCCCCAGAAGGGATGCAGAGAGCTGTGGGGTTGCTGCTCTCGTAGGGCAATTGTAATGCGTGCGCCCTCCTTGCCCACAGGCTCTGTACCTCAGCTGGGTGGTGGAAGCCCGCAGGAACATCCTGGCCATCCTGCAGGATATGCCCTCGCTCTGCCCCCCCATTGACCACTTGTGTGAGCTCCTGCCCCGCCTGCAAGCCCGCTACTACTCCATCGCCTCCTCCTCCAAGGTGAGTGTGCAGGGCTGAGGCTGCTGAGGCACCCCTTCAGCTGCAGCCCCATGGTGCCATGGGGGGGGCTGCACATGGGGAACTCACCCTGGCAATGCTTTCTGTGAGAGGGGCACCTTTAGTTCTCTCTATGCATGAGAAGAGGGAATCATCCCAGCTGCCACAGGGGGTGTAAAGGATCCCACACTGCATCCAGTTGTACTTGGATACCACCACCCTCCCCTACAGCCCTGCTCCTCTTCGCCCAAAGGCCTTGCTTTTGGGGCTTGGAAGCAAGGTGGCATTTTAGGGGCTGGTCAAAATTCACTCACTGCTTTGTACCTGAAGCCCTTGTGGCTGTTGGCGTTACTGAGGGGAGCTCAGTGCTCCTGTGATGAGTTGGGTGCAAAACAGAAGGCCTGTGTGGGGTCTGGTGGGAGGTTTGCTCGGCCTTGATTTGTTGGGTTAAACTCCTGCCCCCTGAACACACTGAGCTGTGGGGCTGCCTCTGCCTGGCACTGACCCCCCCTTCCCTGCAGGTTCACCCCAACTCCATCCACATCTGTGCCGTGACGGTGGAGTACGAGACCAAGACGGGACGGGTGAACAAAGGGGTGGCCACCAACTGGCTCAAGGGCAAGGTGCCCACCGACAACGGGAGCAGCTCCCTGGTGCCCATGTACGTGAGGAAGTCTCAGTTCCGCCTGCCCTTCAAACCCAGCACCCCCGTCATCATGATCGGACCAGGCACTGGCATCGCCCCCTTCATGGGCTTCATTCAGGAGCGGGCCTGGCTCAAGCAGCAGGGTGAGTGCCCTGGGGCCTGGAGCCGCTGCAGGAGGGTGCTTTGTGCAGCTCTGTGCTGCTTGCATCACCTGTGGGGTTAGCCAAGAGCGGGGTGAGCGGCAGCGAAGGGGTTTCGCTCAGTGTGAGGATGCTCTGTGCTCCTCTGGGCCATAGAGGGGGGCAGATGATAGACCTGAGTCAGTTCTCTGGCCATGCCCCAACCTGTCTCTGGATAACCACAGCTGTCACTTACACTTATTTCTATGCTTGCTTCTGGGAATCAGTGTGAAGCTTCCCCTCAGGAACAGAAGCAGTCACAGAATCCCAAACTGGTTTGGGTTGAAAGGGACCTTAAAGCTCACCCAGCTCCAACCCCTGCCACGGGCAGGGACACCTTCCACTAGAGCAGCTTGCTCCAAGCCCCTGTGTCCAGCCTGGCCTTGAACACTGCCAGGGATGGGGCAGCCACAGCTTCTCTGGGCACCCTGTGCCAGCGCCTCAGCACCCTCACAGGGAAGAGCTTCTGCCTAAGAGCTCATCTCAGTCTCCCCTCTGGCAGGTTAAAGCCATTCCCCTTGTCCTGTCCCTGCAGGCCCTTGTCCCAAGCCCCTCTCCAGCTTTCCTGAAGTCCCTTTAGGCACTGGAGCTGCTCCAAGGTCTCCCTGGAGCATGGTGCAGCTCCGCCTTGGCAGGATAAGGGGAGGGGGAAGGAGAGGGCTGCAGGATGCAGCTGATGGTGCTGTGTGTCTGCAGGCAAAGAGGTGGGTGATACAGTGCTGTACTACGGCTGCCGCCGTGAGCGTGAGGACTACCTGTACCGTGAGGAGCTGGGCCGCTTCCAGCAGGATGGGGTCCTCACCCAGCTCCACATCGCCTTCTCCAGGGACCAGGCTGAGAAGGTACCACCCTGCTCCCCTGCTGCGTGCTCAAGCTGCCCCCCATCAGTGGGGAAAGGCCCCGAGGGCTGGAGCTTTCCCCTTGCAACCATAGGAGCACCCAGCACCACCGCTGTCTTGTGCAGCCGTGTCCATGGGCTCGGCTTCCCCACCTCCCCATGGGCTGTGATACGGGGGCTCTGCTCCCCTCGCCTCACTCCTGTCTTGTTTCTTACCAGGTTTATGTTCAGCACTTGCTGAAGAAGAACAAGGAAAACATCTGGAAGCTGGTTCATGAGGGGAATGCTCATATCTACGTGTGCGGGTAGGTCCGGTGGCAGGGAAAACACTCCTGGTCTCAGGAAGATGAGGGTGACTCGGTGTTACCGGGGTCACACTGTCCTTGTCCAGGGGAGGGCGACGGGTTGGGGTGGAACTGTCCCTGTTTGGGTGTCAGGAGCTGACAGGGGCTCTGATGCCTCCCTCATGGTCCCCTTGCTTCCAGCGATGCTCGCAACATGGCCCGGGATGTGCAGAACACCTTCTGTGAGATCGTGGCCGAGTTTGGGAACATGAGCCAGCCCCAGGCCGTGGACTATGTAAAGAAACTGATGACAAAGGGCCGGTATTCCTTGGATGTCTGGAGCTAAGAGCAGGGCCACGGAGGGAACAGGTCCCCAGCCTGGGCCCATGGGAGGTGGGAAGTGCCTGCGCGCCCGCTGCTGCTGTGGGTGATGTCCCCAGCACACAGCTACCCTGGTGTCACTCCCAACCCCTCCTGGGCCATGGCAGCCCCAGGGCAGGCTGCGTGCCCTGGGGTGGATGGGGTTGAGTGGGGCAGGGGGGTAGCTGGGGCTGTGGTGCTGATGGTACCCAAGGAGCACCTCATGGCACCAGCACTGAGGTAGGGATGCGGCTGATGCGGGGCAGAGGGGATGGATGGTGCTGGGGGAGCTCTGGGGTCCTTCCCTGAACAGGAGGTGCTGCCTTATCCCGTGTGGGGCTGGTGTGAGGGCACAGCACTGCCCTGTGCCACCAGCACCCTGCAGGGACCCTGCTCCAGTCCCTGCTGCCCACCTTTGCTGCAGCAGGGAGGGGATACCTCACCTCCCCCCTGTCTGGGGGGCGGGGGGGGTGTCTCAGCCCTCAGGGGCCCTGCAGCTTGCCTGTGCCCAGCCTCTTCCTCCTGCTGTGCACGGTCATTTTATAAATACTGTTTTTATTTTAACATCTTTTTGTGATTTAATCGGGGGAGGGGGGAGGGGGAGGCACCTTCAGGCTGTCCAATGGCTCTAAATTATTTAAATACATCTGCCCTTGGAATAAAACCCCTCTTTGTGTCATCTGCTTCCTGCGATGGCTCTGCTGGGCCACAGCTGGCTCTGCACTGGGGCACAGCACTTGAGAGGGGGCAGAGCTTCTCTTCTCCCATCTCTTGAGGACACTGAGGTCCTGCTGGGCTCAGCTTGGCCAAAGGGAAGGTGTCCACAGGGCCCTTCACCCCAGGGGCACTTGGTGGTGGTCCTTCCCTCCCCTTGATGCTGTGTCAGGGGCCCGCTGCCACAGGAGCCAAAACCACAGGAGCTGTTGTGACACCACCTCAGTGACCCAGACAGCACCTTCCCTTTATTGTCACAAGTGCATCCCCCAGAGGTGCCAAAGGTGCTGTTTGCACAGCTCCAGGATGAAGCCTGGATCAGGCTTGTGGTGTTCCCACCCCTCTGGTGCTTCAGCTCCTCCACCTCTACCCTGGGGCTTGATGGTAAAGGAGGAGCTGGGGTAAGAACCAGCACTTCCAGCTGCTTTGGAACATAGAGAGGGCCTTGGAACGGGTGACCATCACCCCTGGACACTGCCTTGTCCCAGTGGTGCATTGGGATGGGGAGCACTTACAGAGCTGGGCTGACCCCAAGGACCAGTAACTGTCTTCAGGGCTGAGGGGAGGGAGCAGCAGCCCCGGGCACGCCGCTCCCCTGCAGGTAAAGGCAGATGGGGCAGGATGCCCCCGATTCCAGGGGAGTGACAGGGACATGGATCCAGCACCGCAGAGAACACACAGTCTGTTCCCATCCCACACCCAAGGGATGGAGTGAGACACCAGAATCTGGACGGCATCGAGGAGATACAGGGATGGGAGATGGAGCTGGGGGGGAGAAACAGTCCTGGCCCCCACACTGCCCCCCTTCAGTCCTGCTTCATGTCCTTATTCTTGTTCTGGAACTTCTGGTGCACGACGCGGAGCGTGGTGAAGAAGTTGCCCAGGAAGAGGATGAGGAAGGGGAGGCCGCACATGAGGACCTATGGAAGGATGGGTGAGCAGGAGCAATGGGTGAGGGGCACCCTCTGCGCAGGGCCCCCCCCCCTTACCTGCCACTCCTTGCATTCTGGGTGCTGCAGCATCCGGAAGAGGGTGACCGCGTTGTAGAGCTGCCAGAACTGCAGGAAGAGAGGAGAGTGAGGGGGGTTTAGGCTCAGCCCCGCGTTGATGCTCACCCACCTGCTCCCTTTGGGCACAAACACCAAGCACCAACACAAGTGGTGGAGGTTGGGGATGCTCTGGAGGGAAGAAAAGGCTCAGTGTTTGCTGAAAGCACTTCCCTGCATCAGCATTGTGCAGCTAAAGCAGCCTGCAGGGGCCATGGGGGAGCTGCGATGGTTGGAGCAGCTCTGCTCTGGAGCCAGGCTGAGAGCTGGGCTGGGTCAGCCTGGAGAAGAGAAGGCTCCTGAAGGGGAGACCTGAGAGCAGCTCCAGTGCCTGAAGGGGCTGCAGGAAACCTGGAGAGGGGCTTGGGACAAGGGCCTGTAGGGACAGGACAAGGGGAATGGCTTTAACCTGCCCGAGGGGAGACTGAGCTGAGCTCTTAGGCAGAAGCTCTTCCCTGTGAGGGTGCTGAGGCGCTGGCACAGGGTGCCCAGAGAAGCTGTGGCTGCCCCATCCCTGGCAGTGTTCAAGGCCAGGTTGGACACAGGGGCTTGGAGCAAGCTGCTCTAGTGGAAGGTGTCCCTGCCCGTGGCAGGGGTTGGAGCTGGATGAGCTTTAAGGTCCCTTCCAGCCCAAACCATTCTATGACCTGTGCTGCCAGGAACACAGCAGGATCTGCTCCCACCTGAGGCTCTGGCCTCTTGCCTCAGTGTGCACTCACATGCCCGAAGAAGAGGAAGGGAAGCAGGAATGTGAGGCCTCTCCACATCCAGGACTGGAAACCCTCTGCAAAGGAAGAAGGTTTTGAGGATCCGGGAATGTGCCAGCTGGGGCCTGGTAGTCCCCAGGAGAGCAGGAGCAGGGGAGCATCCACCCTATGGGATGCTGCTGCCTCATGGGAGATGGTGCTCTCAGAGCTTTGGCTTCACTTGCAGCTTTCCCTGCTTCTGCCAGTGATAAACCAGAGCCAAACTAACCCCGAAACTAAAGCCACTGTCACCATTGCCTTGACCAGAACCCAGAGCTCCCAGTGAGCCCAGTGCCAGGCTGGGGCTGGGATGGTGGCAGCAGCTCCACTGGGATTGGGAAGATCCCGGCTTACCCACGGTCAGGTCCATGTTGTGCCTCTCGCCCAGCGCTCGCAGCCGGTACAAGCACCCGCTCTGGTAGTAGTACTGCAGGAACTGCACGAAGCCTGCGAGGAGGGAATGGCCATGGTCAGCACGGGCCCAGGCATCAGCCTGGCGCTGGGACAGCACCACACTGCCCATCCCAGCACCAGGATGGAGGCCAAGGGAAAACCCAGGTGAGCCCAAGAGCTGGGAGCAGCTACAGCCAGGTCTGCCCATGGTAGGGAGGCAGGCAGGCGTGCCCAGCCCTCTGTCACACCCCCCATGGCAGCACTTACTCTGGTACATGGAGAAGGAGAGGAACTGGTTCCTGAACATCTGGTACATGAGCCCATCTGGCCTGTGGAGAGACAGGTGTGGGGTGAGAGGAGGCCCAGCCAGCCCTACTGAAGTTGGGGGGGACACCCCAGGTTGGACACTGGGGACCACCTTGTGTTTCCCAGCCCACCCTGCCTGGTGAGGAGCACGTGGAGCTGACTGTTAGATCCACAGAGCAGGATTATGGCCATGGCTTGGGGCAGCAAAGGCACCTGAGCCATCCATAGCCCAAAGCAAGGACCCCTATGGGATGGGGACACAGACCTACCATGTCAGCATGACTCCCGAGAGGAAGGTAGAGATGTAGTGATGGAAAACCCACCAGCCTTTGATTCTGGAAGGCAGACACAGAGAAGGGGAGTCAGGTCCTGAGCACCCAAACACGCACCAGGAGAGCAGGGCCCTTTCCACTGCTGCTCCACCTTCCCACCCCACCTCTGCGTGGGGAGTGACTCCTGCCCCACTCCTACAGCTCACCCCAGGCTTTGCTACACACCCTGAGTAGGAGGAAGCTGCTCCCTTGGGAAGCACGGAGCTAGGTGATGGGTCCCAGCTCCCAACAACTTCTCCTCACAGAGAAGGACAGTTCGCTGCATGCCCCCTTCCCAAGCCCATGGGACTCACTTGGATCCGTTGTTGATGAGGATGCTCTCCCGGATGGTGAGGGTGCAGTAGTACCACACCAGGAGGAAGTTAAAGACAGCGTCTGTCACCCTGGTGTCACACAAAGCAGGGTGTAAAGGCAGCAGCAGAGGCGCTGGGACAGCAGGATGCCCACCAAGGCAGTGAGAGCTGCTTCCCCACCATCACCAAGGCCACAGTGAGACCACAGCAGCCACCCCACCTCTAGGGCAGCAGCCAGATCCTTTGCCAGGGTCTCCTCTGGACCTTTCAGGATGGGACAGGAGGACACAAGGGCTCTGGGAGGAGATCCCTGCCCAGTATCCAAGCCAGACTCACCTGGTATTGACGAGGAACCGACAGGAGGAGGAGATAATGAGTAAGATGATGGTGAGGTAGAGCTTGAACTTCTCATACTCATCTTTATAGGCAAACCTGCAGGGAAACACAAGGACAGGCTTGGAGCAAGGTGGCTGCTGGAAATCTGTGTCCTCCCATCCCACCCGGCTGGGCAAAAGTGTTGTTCCATTAGGGATCACTAGGACATGCTCAGGAAAAGCCCCATCTCCCAGGTATTCCTGAGGAGAGCACCCCAGGCTGCTTTCACAAGGTGAGACACCATCAAGGACTCTGGGCAGATGGATCTGTCTCCAAGGAGAGGCCTGGGGAACATGGGCACCTCTGGCTCTGGTGTCCCACCATGGGGATGCTCTCAGTAGCCAAAACCAGCCCAAGGGAAGAGGAGGGGTTTGCCAGTGGCTGTACGGGGCTGTCTCTCCTGGAAGTGCCCAACACAGGGGAAACCCAGCACGGCATCGGTGGAGGATCCCATTTAGCTTGTCAGAGCTGCGGGTCCAGCGCAGCCCAGCAGCAAGGATGTAAGGAGTTGAGGGCTCAGCTGGTTCTGGTTGCAGGACCTGCACTGGGCAGGCCACGTGTCTGCACATGCAGCAGCTCATCCCGGAGGAGCTGCTGTTGTTCCCTGGTGTCCTGGGGGTCCCCAGCCATGCAAAGCACGGGGTGCAGGAGCCGTACTTGGCCTGCTTGCTGAGCAGCGTCACGTTCACGTTCCCAAGCACCAGACTCAGGTACAACCTGGGGAGAGAGCAGAGGCGTTAGGACAGGCGGTGCTCTGCAGAGCCATGCCATGGCATCCAGGAGCTCCCAGCTGTCTCCCACCCGGGGCTGCCAGGCAGCGTGACCGGCACAAGTGTGCTGGCATCACCTCCCAAGGGCATGGGGACGGGTGGCTGAGCACACCCCGCTCCTGGTTTGGGCTGGGATAGGGGTTGTTTTCCTCCTAGTAACTGGTGCTGTGCTCTGATTTGGCTTTAGTGTGAGAATAACGCTGATAACACAGCGATGGTTTAGGATAAGCGCTTCCTAGCAACAAGGACTTCCCAGTTTCCTGCGCTCTGCCAGTGAGGAGTTGCACAAGAGGTTGGGAAGGAGCAGAGCCAGGGATGCTGACCTCAACTGGCCAAAGGGGTATTCCGTGGCAGGGAACCTCAGGCTCAGCATAGAAACTGGGGGGAGCTGGGTGGAAGCCACTAGTTGGGGATCAGTCAGTGGGTGGTGAGCAATTGTATTGTGCATCATCTGCCTGCCCCAGGTTTTATTCCTCTCTCTTTTCCCTATTATTATTATTATTGTTATTATATTCTACTTTATTTCCATTATTAAACTTATCTCAACCCCCAGGTTTCACCTTGTTCCTATTCACCCCATCCCACAAGGGGGGACTGAGCGAGTGGCTGCCTGGTACTTGCCTGCTGGTGTGGTTAAACCCCGATAACACCCCATACGTCCCCCAGGTACAGGGGTTTTACCAGGGCTTCCCCTGGCCCATGGCCACCATTCAAGGGCAGGTGAAGGCCACTGGAGGCAGAGGCTCAGCCTGGCTCCTGCCCAGGCGTCCTCCAGCACGGCTGTGAGGCTGTCACCAGGAGCAGGGTGACAGCCGCCGGGCTGAGGAGGGAGGACGTGGTGTTTCACCCAGGGACAAGGTGCCTCTTACCCGTTCTTCTTTGGCAGGTAGGCCTCCATCTCAAAGAACACGTTCTGCCTCTCCTTTATCAGGCTCTGGGTCTCCTGGATGGTCTCCTGCTGCTCGGGGCTCGCGTGGGCTTTGCATCTGGGGAGGAAACAAGGTGCTGGCGTCAGGACAGCGTCTGAAACACACTCAGCATGTGCTGGAACTCAATACGTGACTGTCTCAGGCAAAGACACCCCAAGGACAGGGAAGATGGGCCGGAGGCAAGTCCATGCCTCCGCGTGCAGGGTGAGCTCCTCTGTCAGGCTGGGATGTTGCTCGAGGAAAGGAAGCAGGAATGAGTGAGGTGAGGCCATATGGGGCCTTTCACCCTTTGGGAAGGATGGGGAGAGCTCTGTGCAGCTCAGGTTCCCTGCAAAGCCCTTGCAAGCTCTGAGCTGCAAATGGGGGCAGAGGAAAGGGGAGCTGATGCGGATCCAGCCTCCACAGCTCTTTGCTACCAGCGAGGCTGCAGGAGGGGCTGTGCTGGGGACAGAGCTGAGGTCTGACAGTCCCATCCTTCGCAGGACAACCACTTACTTCTTGAAGGACAACGCCAGCTCCTTCAGCCGCTTCTTCTGCCGTGCGATGGAGCTGGAGATCCCGTCCTGCAGCTTGGTTAACTCCTCGAGCTTCTGCTTGTACAGCCTGTGGTTGTCCTGGGAAGCAGAGAACACCATGCACTACAGCTGCCTGCCCTCTGTGCGGGCATCTGCTGTCCTCAATTCACGTGCACAGCACTGGTACCCAGAGCTGTCTGCATAAGGACAGGCGTGTCTGGGGACAGCCTGAGGGCAGAATCAGCCCCTGGGGATGCCCATCCCCAACCCCAAGGGATTTATCTACAGGTGCAGGCACATCCACATGGCACAGCCTGCTCCTGCCTTGCCTATGGCTTGGGTTTGCCCCCCTTGTGAAAGCTTGTGTCCTTGTGTCCCACTGCAAGGATGCTCCCATCTTCGGGAATCCATTGATTGTGGCACAGGGGAATGGAAAGACTCAGGGGGAAAACACACTGCTGGTGGCAGGGATATAACTGAGAGCCACACGGGAGCAGTGGCTTTAGCTGCAGGGATGGAATGAGTGGCATTCTCTGCCTGGAGGTTTGTGCACCACCGGCTCATGGCTCCATCCCAAGCACCCCAAAGGAGCTGGGACAAGGGAGGCTGGAGCCAGCCTCCGGGGCAGCGGTAACCCAACCATACCTGGGTGAGGCCAGATCCCATTCCTCACTATATTTAGAAGGGGAAAGCGAGAGCACGCTGGATCAATGCTGCTGCTTGTCCAGGTCAGCTGGAGCACAGCCTCAGCACCACCTCCCCCCCGGGCACCCAGTGCTGCTCACACCAACCCTTGGACCAGACCTTGACACACACACACACACATTTCAGCTGCCGTGGCTCTTATCAAGCACTTCATCAGCAGCAATCAAAGGTGAAAGGGATGCAGAGGAGGCAGCGGACCCCTTCTCCTCCTGGTGACACCGAGCGGCAGGGTCGGAATGGAGCCCGGAGTGCCGCGGCAGTGATTTACGTCCCAGGCTCTCAATGGACGTTCCCATCGAGCTTTCCTGCTCCCCACCTGGAATCCCCTCCTTCCTGCTCTGGAGTTAACCGAGCGCAAGCGGCTCTTGTGCTGGCACCTTCAGCCGTGCTCGGGACCCATCCCAGGCGCAGGGGCTGAGCCGGGACATCCCCGCCACCCTGATGGAGCAAGAGGAGGTTTCTCAAAGCCTCCCTTGTCCCAGATCCGGGCCCGGCCGCAACGCAGCCGCTCCCGGGAGGGAAGGAGGGGGCACGGGGACTGGTGCACCCGCGGCACGGTTCCCTTGCCCGACCTTCCCCTTGGGTGACCGCTGAGCCCTGCGCGCTCCATGACAGGCACCCGGCGGTCCCGCAGAGCTCCCCGCCGGTACCGGCGGCTGTGTCCCGGGCGCAGCGCTGCTCCTGCACCCGGCTCGGTGCTGAGGGGAGCCGGAGCCCCGCTGCCGCTCCCGTTCCGCACGGTACCTGGATGCGCTGGAAGCCGTCCTGCAGCTCCTCCCACTCCCGCAGGCACTCGGCAGCCGAGCCCGCCATGGCCGACATGGCGGCGGCTTCAGCCCGCGGCCCGCCCGCTTCCGGCACGCCCCGAGGGCGGGGACAGCGGCGGGGCCGGGCCGGGCCGGAGCCGGGGGTGATGGAGCCGTGGGTGCAGGGGACGGAGTGGGATGGAGGGGGCTGAAAGCTCATCCAGCTCCAACCCCTGCCATGGGCAGGGACACCTCACATCAAACCAGGGCACCCAAGGCTCTGTCCAACCTGGCCTTGAACACCACCAGGGATGGAGCATTCACAACCTCCCTGCGCAACCCATTCCAGTGTCTCACCACCCTAACAGGAAAGGATTTCCTCCTTATATCCAATCTAAACTTCCCCTGGTTAAGTTTTAACCCGTTACCCCTTGTCCTGTCACTACAGTCCCTAATGAAGAGTCCCTCCCCAGCATCCCTATAGCCCCCCTTCACACTGGAAGCTGCTCTGAGGTCTCCATCAGCTTCTCTTCTCCAGGCTGAACAGCCCCAATGTTCTCAGCCTGGTTCCATACAGGAGCTGTTCCAGGCCCTGAGCATCCTCCTCTGGACTTGTTCCAACAGTTCCATGTCCTTTGTATGTTGAGGACACCAGAACTGCACACAATGCTCCAGGTGAGGTCTCACAAGAGCAGAGTAGAGGGGCAGGGTCACCTCCTTCGCCCTGCTGGTCACGCTCCTGTTGATGCAGCCCAGGATGCGGTTGGTTTCTGGGCTGTGAGCTGTGCTCTGGTTTTCCTTACAAACAGCAGCCTGGCCCAAGGAAACCAGGAGGGACCAAAAGCAGAATCACAGCCCTCTCCCAGTGCACAGGGCTCTTGGCAGCTCAAAGGGCTGTCCTGCTGTCAGCACAGGCGGGTCTGGGTGTGGGTTCACATGCAGAAGGCAGGGACTTCCAGCTTCCACTGGGACTGGAACAGGGAAATCCTGTCATCACCCCTCCGGGCTGGAGGCAGGCGCAGTCAGACTGAATTCACCATCCCAGGCTGTGGACTGACAGACCTTTCCAGGGACAACCCTAATGACTGCCCCATACCTGGGGTAATGAGTGTGCCCAATAGCCTGGTTACCATCCCCTTAGCTTACAAGAGAGATGAGCAGCACGTAACGGGCCGCATCCCGCAGGATTTGCTTTCCCAACCTGCTGCCTTCAACAGCACAGCTGAGTTCCCCAAATGGCTTCAAAGCTTGATCCCAAAACCATGGAGCTAAAGAGGAAAGCCGTTCTATTTCACTTAAAGCTCAAGTAGCTTTCAACCAGCACGGGGGCGCAGATGGGGAAATGCCATTCCCTGCTCGGTGTTCCCTTCAGTAGTCGAGTTCAGAGATGTCTGTGACCGTGGTCTTGTACATTTTGGTCTCCCAGTCTAAGAGCTGTTTCACAAAGCCTTGGTGCGGTCTCATGTTCGTTTTGCACTTCAGGACATAGCTCCAGGCGCCCTGTGAACGGAAGGGAAGCAGGACAGCATTAGGAACCTCAGGGATTTACACGGAACAGCTGCACTTGTAGACAGCACAGCTTTGTATTTACCCTGTGTTGGGTGTAAGAACCTGCAGGTAAGACCTTGGCTACTAACGCAGGGACACACAGATTCAGGGCTGAGCTTCAGCCAAGCCTGTCACCTTCACACGCTGCTCTCCTGGGTACAGGACAGCTCAGGCTGCTTTCACTCCCCAGCAGGTATCTCCCATGAGTTTACACTGATGGAACATTGCACTCCTGGATTTTCTACCCTAAAACTCTCTTTCTTCCACAGATGATAAGCAAAGCAGTGAACTATCAGCTATTCACAAGCAAGCCACAAAGGTTATCATGTGTCTGGACTGGTCTGATCCGATGTGATAGATCAGCTATGCCACTCCAGTTACCCCGCTGCACTGCTTACAGCCACCTTATCTGTGAGTTCCAAGTGATCAGCTCAGAGCTCTGCTACACACAGGGTAGATCCACCAGGATCCAGCTGCATCCTTGGGTTTATCCATCCCTTTCCTGCTTTTAAAACAGACTGCCCCCCACTCTTGGAGGGTTGCTTAAGCCTAATGAGACCAAAGGTTAGCAGATAGTGCTCCATTGGTTTGCTTTTCTAATCTCAGTGATTCTGCAGGCTCCAAGGCTGATATATTGCAATATTGTCCCCTGTGAGCCCACAGCGTGGATGTCTCCAGTTCCCCTGAACTCAACAGATCGATTACTCATCGAATAAGGGGCCGCACATCCCAAATCTCTCCGTCTTTTGCGACATCTGCATCTTTGGAAGCTTTCAAAGCTCTTTGGCTGGACCGGCTGCAGGATCCCATGGGAATCTATTGCACTGCTTTCGTCTGCAAGAAACGAACTTGTCTGCCAGGGGAATCCCTCAGGAAAGCTTTTCCCAGCCAAGCAGCACCCCAGGTCAGCCTTTCCTCCTCCTCCTTTTTGGCACTTGGGGAAATGCTGACTCCAACCTGTTGGTACCAATGGAAGGAAATCTGCAAGGGTCAGCCTTTGACTTTGGCACCGCAGTAAGATAGCACGCGAAGGGTTCTCAGTGTGCAGGAGCAATCCCACCCCACGTTATCAGCAGTGTCTGCAGCCCGGCGGGCATGCTCAGCCTGAAATCACCCCTTGGCACCCAGCAATGGTGAAAGATCTCCCCTTATGTTTGCACAAGCTCCATTAAACGATTAGATATAGGCCCAGCTTCAGGGGAGTTTGGATCAATCCTTTCAGGCTCCCAAAGGAGGAAACATCTTCCAAACAAGGACAAGGCTTTTATGGAGATGCTCTTCAGTTCCCATGGGAACTAGCTGGCTCTGTGTTAAGCAGGCACCATTGGATGGTGCCTATGGGAGCACGATGCCCGAGCGTTGCATGCAAAGGGAAGAAGGACCTGGTACCAGGGGCGAGGCCATCAGGCCAAAGCACAGCCAGGTCACTCTCAGCCATCATTCATTATTGTTCTTCTGTTATCCAGAGCTATGGAACAGCAGGTACTGGCCTTCTAACCTGTATATCCCTCCGGAGCTAGTATTATCCCATTCCTGTTCTCTCTACAGTAGTTTCTGTGTGAGGGGATTGCTTCTGGAGAAATAAAACAGGATTTTGGAAGAAGTCAGTGCTGGCACTGAAGTCAGTGGTGAACCAGAGCCCTGCAAGCACTGGGTTCCAAATTTCCCTGTAACCCCCATGGTATTAAGAGATGGGATTAACTCCAGCAGCTTCCAGATTCTGTCTTTCTCGGATCCAGGAGAGCAGAAATACTAAGTTCTGTAACCACAGCTTTATTTTTATAGCCCCATAGTTAAGTAGGGAAACGTAAGAATATCAGAGGTGCCAGGATAAGGACCCACAGCTCCAAAAATCGCACCTGAGCCACCTCCCTAACTCTATAAAGAAGATGCAATCTCATGTAATATCATCTGTTGCATTATCAGGTGCATGAAAGCACAGACAATGTCTCTCTTATTACTGCAGTAATGAGGCTACAGAAGCAGAAATAAACTGCAGACCCAGCCAGTACCTCTGGGAAATAGAGCAGGGATGTACCTTCAGGGAAAACATGCAGGAATGAATAAGATAGGCCATGACTCCTGTGCTGCTCCGGCTTATCCCCAGGCTGGAGAACACCAGCACCGCTCCGTGATCCAGCTGAGCATCTGGGGAAAGAAATGCCAATCATGGATTAGGGATCTGGGAAATGAAGCTTCCAGCAGCCAAGCGCTAAGGCAGTGACAGCCGACAGCTCCCAGCCTGAGCAACAGGACCCTCATGAGCCCTGGCAGCAGGAGATGGGCACTGCCCGCTCCTGGTGCTGGAAGCCTGAGTTAAGACATGGCTGTGGAGACCAGAACTAGATGGCAATGACCAGTCAACGCTTTATTACACATCAGTGCCACCTTTCCATCAGGTAGCTGAAGAAGAGTGGTCCACCACGAGCAGTCAGCTTGGTCAGCACCACATCACCTCCTCAAACTCTTCCCAGACAGGTTTAAAGGCATTGAAATTGCTGATGAATGCAAGCCTGTTGTCCACTCAAGCTGGAGGAATCAGCTCTCAGTCTGGAGGGGACTTAGACTTCAAATCCCTTACTTTTCTATGGGGATTACTAGTAAGAAGTGTGCATATGCCAGCTAAGGCACAGGTTTTATGATGTTTTGACGATGGATAATTTGCAGTGGAATTTGCTAAGATGAGCAAACTCATTTTCTCCAAAAACTAAGCCCAAGGATGCTGTCAGTCACTCCTAACCACGTTAACTCTGCTACTTATGCCTGACAGGCTGCATGTTTTATTAATAGCCTTTTGATTGCTTTCCTTCCCTCTCCAGAGCAGGCAGCATGGCATGTTTTTATCAGCAACTGAACTCCAGCGTTCATAGGGCAAAGGTTCTTCTTTTACTGCGGTGAAGAGGTTGTGAGGTTTTGATTCTTTTTTAAGCACTAGAACAGTGTTTTATAACTTATTTCTACCGTGAGATATTAGTTCTGTTCTAAGACCTGAGTAGAAATGGCCTCACTCCAACATACACCTGGCGTGATGATATCCACACTCCTCTCAGAGTATGGGGAAAGCCTTAGCGTAGTGTTCACCCATAACCGTTCCAGCTTAAGTGATTTACTTTAGACTATCAAGTGAGCAGTTTGACCATCAAGTAAACAGCACACACTAATACAAGAGCTACAGCTCATAAACTCTTACAGTCTTTCTTCTGCAATACTACTGGGAAAAAACCCAGGGCAAAACGAAAGGCAAGGAAGTAGATTTTGCTCTTTGGGTTTCGATGCATGTGAATAGGTTCAGGGCCATTAGATCCTCAAATGTCATTTCCTTCTTTCTCTCTTTGTGCCCAGTTGTCATTTCTCATATTGGATGATAAGGTCTGTGGGGACAAAGCTTCTGGGTCGCTCCAGCGCTCAGCTCAGCAGGGCCTTGGTGTTGTGAGTGTGATAAGAGATAATGATGGGGTTGGACACAATGACAGGATGGAGCTGTGGGAGCTGTGTCTGCTGTGGGCACTGAGCTGGAGAGCATGTCTTTTCTTGCTTTCTCTGATGCAATCAGTTGAAGGCAGGTTTGTGCCGTCCAACCTGAAAGTCTTCC